TTAGAAAGAGCTGTATCAAACCACTTAGAAATCTACATGAATACATTTGGACTTATTCCAATTACCAACATGGTTTATTGAGTGGCCGTTCATGCACTAACCTGGTTAGGGCTGTTGACCATCACTGGGCTAAAATAATGGACGAAAGAAAGCCCCCTCACATAGACGTGATATTTTTGGAATGGAGTAGTGCTTTCGACACCGTTAATCGCTCCATTCTCCTAAACAAACTTCATAATTTGTGGGCAGGTCTGGAAATGGTTTAAGTCATTCTTGTATAACCGTACTCAAAAAGTTAATTATCGGGGTGCTTCCTCCTATTCATCTGATGTAACGTCTGGAGTTCCACAAGGGTCTGTTTTGGGACCAATCTTGTTTAATTTATTTGTTCTCGACTTACCTGATATTGTTAAGTCCCATATTCCTTTATATGCTGATGATACAGTCCTATACTGTGCTATCAGATCTCAAAATGATGAAACAATACTTCAAAATGACATAAAGAACGTTAATGAATGGAGCAAAAATAATGGTATATGCGCCTTAATCCGTCTAAATGTAAAATGATGAAAATCACTCGCTCATCAGTAAATATAAATTCCATAAAAACTTACCATCTTGATAACACAGAACTCTCTATTGTAAATAAACACAAATATCTTGTGATTACTATTTCTTCTAAACTTAGCTGTGGGGATCATGTCAATGCTATTACTACCAAGTCTTAATAAACGTCTAATTCCGTTTAACAATCCATCTGTCACTCTCAAACTCTACACAACTCTTGTCCGTCCCGTACTTGAATATGGTGTACGAGCGTGGTACCCATATCAATCTGGCCACATACATAAGCTTGAGAGTATACAGAGAAGGGCTACAAGAGCTTGTTTTCCTTTTAAAAGTTGCTATTCATCTTATGAAGATAGGCTAATTAAACTTAATTTGATTTCAATTAAAGATAGATTTGATATGCAAGTGCCTATTTTGTTTATATCACCTTGACATCTTCTCGTATATTTCTATTAATGCGCTACATACAGACAATCTTAAATTTTCTCATTCCTTTGCCAGGACAAATACTTTTAAATACTCAATTTTTAATTCATTTCCTAGATTATGGGAGACATCACCTGCTGACCTTCGAAATTCTCTCCTTAATACTAGTTACAAATATTTTCTTAGCAATCTGAATGAACACTACGCTAACTCTTAATTTTTTTAATTTTTTAAATCTTTCTGAAGAATTTTATATTGTATGTATTGTGTTTTTCTTGTAAAGGGCCTCCACTCGACAGTGATTGATTTTACCTTTGGAGTGTCCTGTCTCTGTTTTTTTTACTTTTGTGATTGTTCTTTGTCGTTTCTGTTTATGTACATTTTAATTGTTTGAGACAAATAAATGAAATGAAATTTTGGGAAATTTGAATAAATCAAATGGCAGAGCATGATGGAAAGAATGGAGATACGAACAATATTAATCCGTATGAAGAGCTGTAATTTTTTGGACTTTTAATCGCAAGTTCGGATACAGCCCGTTAAGGAAGGGTGGGGTGTGAATGTGTGTGAGCGAAGCGAGAGTCTTTGAGCAGAGCCCCTGTTGGAGGTACAAGGGGGGTGAATTTTCCTAATATAGCATTGTACTACCCGCTGCTATTTGGGGATCAGATTCAACACTAGCCACACATTAAGCGCAAGATCGGTGGGCTAGTGGTTATGGCACAAAACTAGTTGTCTGGAGGTCGTGGGTTTGATTCCCACCCGAATCACTTGCAATGTTCTGTGAACGTAGGCGTATTACGATAACACGTCCGGAAGGGAGAAAAAATCACTCCTATTTAAATTCCTGACGCGAACAACTTCGAAATAAAATGACTGCAATTTAAAATTCATATAAACGGGGTAATGGATGACAATTATATACGGTAACGATATCTTCATGTAGTAAAAATGGCTATTAAAATCAAAGCAATTCATTTCGTTATATGGTCAAATATAATATTAATATTACAGAACGAACAATAAAACCAGCAAGACATCCATTAGTATTCAGACAGGAACAGACAGGAACATAATAAGCATTTTCGTAAAATGAACTGCGCATGCTCATATCAAGGTCAATTGACATAAACATACATCACATACACACACGGGCGTACGCAATTCAGACTGCAAAATGACATATTTAGTAGAAGCATAAGAGAAAATGTTCTCTATGGCAGAAGCGAACTTGATCTATGTTACGCTTTCTTCTATTGCTGTACTGCTTGTTATACTAACAGGTCTAGTTTAAAAAGTCTTGATTTCATCTTTTATGATTTTTCCTATGTACAGTATTTTCATTATCTTGTTTACGTTTTGATATTTGACTTTGTAAATCTGTTTATGAATTGGTTTTGCAAAGCGGCCATGTGAAAAATATGGTGGTGCAATTTTATTCCTTTAATATATTTACTTTTATGGGCCTATAGATCCAGAAAATCAACACACTATTCTTAGGGTACTGTATAATTGTTAATATTGAGTATACTGCGCTTCCGCAGATGTAATGTATTCTGTGGCATGTGGCAGTGAAATTTTTATGTAAAATGGAATGTGTTAATGGATTTTTTTCTGTAAAATTGAATTTGTTAAGGTTAATTTCAGTTAATTAATATATATATATATATATATCTATATATATAGTAGTATATAGTAGTATAGTAGTATAGTATATATATATATATATATATATATATATATATATATATATTTGTAAGATTTAAGTATTTGCCTAGCAAAATTTTATAACTGATTTACTGTTTACCCAAGTGCCACTTTCTCAATCTTTGAAACAATAAAAAAGACAGTAGTCCGAACCTGAAACTATGGCTGTACTAATATTGATAATGATAATTACTTCCTTTTTGTGATAATGATTTCATACATCTTTAAGTTTATCTGTATTGTTTATCAGAAAAGTGTAATCAGTTATTTAATGTAATGGCTGGAATTTTGTTTTGCGCCTTTTCTTTTGAACATCAAAGCGCTTAAATTCCACTTTATATGCACTGAATTTTCCTATTCCCGTCTGATCACTATACATATAGTGCCTCCGACTTTTTACTCTTGAGAATATGTGCTGTTACACGATTTGAACCCAGGGCCTCGGGATTGGAACAGGCATCTTAACCACCAAGCTACATCTTAAATACATAATAACTTATTTGGGGTATTTGTTTGTAACAGATATGTAGTCCTAATTCGTCTTTTGTACATAATAGTGGCCTAATGATGATGGTGGTGGGGGTAAGGTTAAAGATGACGGTGAAAATGACGATATAAGTAGTCCTGTACAGGGGTGGCGCCAGGATTTGCCCGACGGGGGGGGGGGGGCGAGGGGAGCGAGGTCCACGACGAGGGTGCCGATGCCCCCGACAAGGGTTCAGATTTCCCCGACAAAAGCAATGTGGGCGTGGTCAAGCTTCGATAAAAGGTTTTGAAAGTGGTCCAGGGGGCGAAGCCCCGAAAATTTTGACAATTTAGGGGTTTTCAAAGGCTTAAGATGTGTATAAGAGACAGATGTCAATGCTATTACTACCAAGTCTTAATAAACGTCTAATTCCGTTTAACAATCCATCTGTCACTCTCAAACTCTACACAACTCTTGTCCGTCCCGTACTTGAATATGGTGTACGAGCGTGGTACCCATATCAATCTGGCCACATACATAAGCTTGAGAGTATACAGAGAAGGGCTACAAGAGCTTGTTTTCCTTTTAAAAGTTGCTATTCATCTTATTAAGATAGGCTAACTAAACTTAATTTGATTTCAATTAAAGATAGATTTGATATGCAAGTGCCTATTTTGTTTATATCACCTTGACATCTTCTCGTATATTTCTATTAATGCGCTACATACAGACAATCTTAAATTTTCTCATTCCTTTGCCAGGACAAATACTTTTAAATACTCAATTTTTAATTCATTTCCTAGATTATGGGAGACATCACGCATGGCGCCACCCCTGGTCCTGTAGGATTTTATACCGCGGAATGTGTGAAAGAATAAAAATGCGCTTGCGATGTTATTTATATCCCTTAAAAAATGAGGGCTTCAGGCATGTTTGAAGGAAATAATTCCTTCTTCGGCTTCTATTTTCTGTAGTGTCCTCAAAACCTGACGTACAATTGCTTATTGTTGTTTTTAGACTAGTCTTGAAAGAAGTAGGCCTACTGCTGCTTGACACCTCTTATGAAACATTATTAAACTGATTGCCAGACTATCTTCTGTACCAAGTAGTAAATTAAAGAAGCGAGGAAAATAACAGTGACAGACGTAAACCTCAGTACATTTGTTCTTGCCAAGAGCATGAATTACAATATTATTATGTCTACTGTGACTTACGAGCTTTGGCATATCAATGTACTTCAACTAAGCCCACCCATTGGATATTGTTGCTAAGGTACCCACAGCACGAAAGCGTTAAAACATACACCCCCCAAACACACACACACATGCGTTTGGGTATATTAGACCAACACGCGTGGAATTATGGAAGAATTAGTTTAAATTTATTTAAAATTTAGTCTAAACTAATTCCTCAATGGTTAGGCACGTGCGTATTCCTGGCTCTGATCTGATTGGTAGGTTGTTAACTTTGATTGACACCCCGGAAAGGTTTATTATTCTATATAGACATAACATATATTTGATTAAAAAAATATAGTGAAATTATTTTAAGGTGTCTGACGATTCATAAATCACAAAAACCAAGAGCTTTAGCATACCGTACTCAACATCAGTTATTACATACAGACATGTCAATACAGACATGTCAATTCTTGTAAATATTTTAAAATTGCAGACATCACAATTCTCACTACCGTCATAACTGAATACAATTTCCAAAAATAGGCCTATACAATTATTATAGTTTTTTTTCTGTTTAAAATCACATTGATAAAATTTCTCCGTACTCCGTAATTTGCTGTTATTAACACACTATTTTTTCATTCCATTAGGCTTTCATTACACTAAGCTACCAAATGTTATCCCAGAGAGCTGCCTCCTAATCCTCGTTGGATTTTTCATTGGTGGCATACTCCATCTGAGTGACAGTGGCTTCGCTGAGCTTTCCAGACTAGATAGCGACTTTTTCTTCCTCGTGCTTCTTCCACCGATCATGCTGGAGGCAGGCTATTTCATGCCGGCACGATCCTTCTTCGACAACCTCGGCACCATTCTTCTTTACGCCGTCGTTGGAACACTCTTTAATGCTATGATGGTCGGATTTACTATGTACGGTATCGCCTCATCTGGCATTGTCAGCGAAAAGATCATCCTGCTGGAATGTTTGGTGTTTGGGAGTCTAATATCTGCTGTTGATCCGGTGGCAGTATTGGTAGTTTTTGAGGAGGTGCACGTTAACGAGGTCTTACATATTTTGGTGTTCGGTGAATCACTTCTTAATGACGCAGTGACTGTGGTAAGTCCAGGGGCATATTTAAAAAAAAATACCCAATTCCAAATATAATTTGAAATTGGAAATTATTAGTATTGACTGGATGGTTATCTAGCTTTTATCTATTGATTGTTAACATTCGTTCGCTCGTTTGTGCGTACGTGCGTTCGTTCACTTAATCAATCACTCAATCATTCATTTCGTCGATGATTCGTTAATTCATTCAATTGAACACTAGAAATCGCACTATAAGTGAGGTACTGTACTCTGAATTTCACTTAAGTTTTACAAGATGCGTTCAACATTTTAAAATATTAAAAGGCAACACTACTTGAATTACCGCAATAAAAAAAGAACAATACAAGTACAATACGGTAACCAACATTGAAGTTGAAGAGACCATACCAGAACTTGTCTGTCCCTTACAATAAGAGAACAAAATAAAACCTTTTGGTATTTTTATGATTTAGCCATTCACATTACTTTCACATAAAACTCAATATTTTTTATTTTTCCAGGTACTTTATCACACATTTGTTGACTTTGTTGAGATATACAGAGAAGTGGGTACAATACCGGGCTCAGATATAGCAAGTGGTTTTGCTAGTTTCTTCGTTGTCAGTATCGGTGGCACATTGATTGGTCTAATCTGGGGCATCATGTCCGCCTTCATCACTCGTTTCACACACAAAGTCCGTGTCATCGAACCAGCTATCGTATTTATTATGAGCTACATGGCCTACCTTACTGCTGAAATCTTCCATTTGTCCGGCATCCTAGCGTAAGTTCTTATTCAATCAATCAATTAATCGGTCATCAATTGATCGATCGATTGAACACTCAATCAACCAATCATTCAATTAGCCAATCAATTAAATCAAGAGCCCTATCAATCACTTATTCAATCAATCAATCAATCGGTCATCGACCGATTAATCAATCAATTAGTCAATCATTTGATCTATGAATCAATCAATAAAATACTGAATCAATCAATCAATTAATCGATCAATTTATTTAAATCAAAAATATGTTTGATAATGCAAAAATTATTATCACCATTAATATAATTATTAATTTATTATTTATATTATGTACTTATTAAAATAGTAAACTTAAATAATATTGTTTTGTAAATTTATTATTACCATTATTATCAATATTGTTAATTATTTTGTTTTCAGTATTGTGTTCTGTGCCATGTTCATGAAGCCGTATGTAGAAGAGAACATCTCGCAGAAATCGCACACAACCATTAAGTACTTCATGAAGATGTTAAGTAGCATCAGTGAAACTATCATATTCATCTTCTTAGGCATAACAACCCTGGTGGACTCTGATCAACATAAGTGGGACACAGCTTTTGTCATTTTCACCCTCATTTTCTGTTTGCTATACCGATTTATTGGTAAGAGATACAATAACGTAAGCCTATTATATGTGTGGGTGTGTATGTATGTTATTTCACGTGCCCAAAGTATTAATTTATGTTCGAACTATAAGAATTAGATCAGAAATATAAAATTGTTTTGAATTTTATTTCATCTAGGTGTCATATGGCAGACGTTTTTAGCAAACAAATTCCGATTGGCCCAAGTGACTCACAAGGACCAGTTTATTATGTGCTATGGGGGTATCCGAGGTGCTATAGCCTTTGCACTTGTTGCTCTACTCGAGGAATTTGTTGAAAGTAGAGCGATTTTCTTTACAACGACTATAGTGGTTGTCATGTTCACAGTGTTTATACAGGTACATAAATTTGCTATTATTTCTATAGGCATAATAAGTGAGCTGTCGTGACAAATTGAATTTTGTGGTACGAAAAATGAAAAATGAAATGAGTTTTCGATATATTTTTATAGATGAATATATAAGCATTATTTTGGTTTTTAAATCATGTTCCTAGGTTGAGTAAAAACCGGAGTAAGAACATTTTAAAGTTGAGTTGTCTAAAATCATACTTAAGAGAACATCGCCCCTAAAGTGTGTTGGTTTTCCTATCAATTTTAAAAGTAGCTTTAAAAAATGTGCCTCAAAAACTTGATTACTTTCGATAACTCAATTTGAAACTTTTGCTACTATAAAATATACATATTAAACTTATCAGAAAAATTGAAACCCAATTTTTGTCGAAATTTTCAGATATATTTTCTGGAATATATCAAATTGACCTGGCGTACCACAAGACTCATTTTTTCACGACAGCTCACATTAGGCCTATTATGTATAATTACTCGAAAACAATTGACATAATATAAATATTGTCAAGTCTCATGATTGACCATATTAATAGTTTGGTAGCATGTTAATACCGACAAACAATTTGCATGTAGACGCACTTAAGAATATTTATTATTTTTTTAACTTCGTTTTTGATAATCTCAAAATTAAGGAATATGTTTCAACGTATGAAATTGTTCACTGGTACTCTACCATATAACTCTAAATTTGGCTGTCGCTGTTTTGATTCATAATACAATTATACTTAAAAGCTTGGTTTCCATAAAATCGCTACATGTTATCGCCGACAGTCTTTCGGTGTCGCTGATTTATCGGTCGAATCGGAGACTTTTAGATTCCGTTGGTTACAGATACGCCTTGTGTAAAAACACTGTGGGGCAGGGTTGCAATTTTAACGAAACCATGGCTTTAAATGTCATAAATTGTAAGTGTAATTAAACACCATATTTTCTTATCCTATAGCACATTATGCAGAAGGTTAAATTTACGATTAATGAAGTAGATGAAAACTTTTGTAAAAGATGTCAATTTGCGATAACTACATTTCAACATTCCTTTGTAGGGTAGTACGATCAAACCAATTGTTGAATATTTGAGGGTAAAACGAGCCGATCATCACAAGCCGTCATTAACTGAGCAGATTTATGTGCGGGTGAGTGTAGTGGAATTGTTATTCACACCCTCCAATATTGAAAATAAGCTCATTCTGACTGGCTAATTTTGGATTGATGAGACATGCAATGGGTTGGAAAGGGATGGGGAAGTTTAAAAGAATATTTGAAGCTTTCTGTCTTATCAGTTCAGCTCATATCTTTTTATAATATGATGAGGCATCAATATTATCATCTTTGTAGTAATCATCATCACATTCATCACCCCATGTCATCATCATCATCATCACCATTCTTATCATCATCGGCATCATCACCATCATCCTCAACAACATCAACACCACACACAGTAATGACTATTTAACAACAAACACAAAAATAATCCTCATCAAACATCACGATTAACACAACCAACACCATCATAATATTAATGGTGGTGTAGTGATGGTTTTGATTATGAAGATAATGCCATCATAATACCATCATCTTCACCACAACTACCACCATCACTATAATAACCATGTTGGTGTGGTGATGCCTGATAAAGAGTAGGGAGATGACTACTGTAGAATTACATGAATGCAAGCCAGATATCATACATATTTTATAAGTTTATTACATAAAGTAATCTATCATCTGTAATTAATTATCTTAGATGAATGAGCATCTCATGGCAGGAATAGAGGATGTTCTTGGTCACCATGGACACCACTACTGGTATAAAAGGTAAGCCAACATGACGTAAATTTTAATTGTCAAAATAAACAACTAGAATAGGTAAAAGAACAGGGAATCAGCAAATTATTAATTTGCTGATCCAAACAACGTTATTTTGATTGCCAATTCCTGTTGTTATGGTCGTAAAATTAATCCTCACCCCAACATATTTTATTGCAGTGCCCGCCTTCTGCATCTATGGCCCCTTGGTTGATACTTCTCCGTCAGACTTGATGGATCCCTGGCGGCAAATTCCTGGAGCCACCCTGTGTCTTATATGAATCTTCTGTTTGATTTGAATTATAATCTATTTATATAGAAATATGACCAAATTCAGTTACTGGTCAATAAAAGGAATTTTCAATTGTGTTTTACAGATGGGATGTTCTGAACGAAAAGGTTTTCCAGCACATTCTTATCAGAGAGAAGCACGCTGCTAAGGACACCACCATCATCAAAGTCTTTGAGAAGTTGAACGAGAAGGATGCGCTGGAATACTTGAGAGAGCAGGGAGGCTTCGTGCCATTCGGCAGCAGTCCATCTATGAGTAACCTTCTTGGGGTGGACGAGGATGCAATGGTTGCCATGGAAGAACCAGCAAAGTAAGGCAATACGAATGCATGTCTTGTCAAAAACAAGTTACAGATTTAATAGGATATCTGTTTTTATCTGTTGCACCATAATTAATAATAATATTAGTGATCCATTTGATAGGTCTACATTCGATGTAATAATAATATATTCGCCAATATTTAAATGTTTCTTTGTTTTGTATGTTTTAGGAAAGACAGAAAATCTGTAATTGATTTAGAGAATCAACCAGAGACAGCTCTTGAGGATAACAACCTGGACAAAATCTTCCGACGGCCTAGCAATAGGGTAAGTGGAAAAAGTCATCAAAGCCCAAAATGCTTAGCGGTATTCTGAACATATATAAACAATGTAAACAATAGAATGATGATCAAATGATATTATATTATGTTATATTATATATAATTCCATATCTTCATTTTTTTTTTCACAACAGAAGAGTCACCGTATATCTCGCCATTACTTACCTGATGAAGAAATCTCAGGGCCTAAGAATCTTATGCAGCGAAGTGTGCATCTTCATCTACGGCACATGATGCGCAGTGAAAGAAGGCGGTCACAGAGGAAAGAAGGACTGTACGAATCACCACGAAATAGTCGACTACAGGTCAGGGGAGCTCATATGAGAAATGGCAGCAAGGAACAATTACTAAGAGAAGGTACGTGATTAAAATACAATGTTCTGCTAAGCCCCGACGCTTGGATATTGTTGCTAAGCTCCACGAAAGTACAGCGTAAGCGGAGGAAACGTGAAACGTACTTTATGAATTGTTGTTTTGTTTTTTTTTATATTGGACTATTTTTATCTATTTTCTTACCTGCAGAAGATGAGACGGTTGCTGAGAGGGAAACCAAGGCGGTTGTCAGAAATGGAGGTATATTGATAGGCCCTGTTTATAATAATAATAATAATGACGATGTTGATGATGATGATGATGAGGTTGATGATGATGATGATGATGATGATGATGAATAGTATAATGGTATTATATACTACTATTTGTATCTTTATGTGCTTCTTGTTTTGAGGATTATGAATAAATTGAAATCGAAATTGAATATTATTAAGGATGATTGATAATGTCAATGGTGGATATTCATGACAAATCAATAGTAATGATATGAGTATGCTGAACTAAGTTTTGAAGGCTGTATTAATACTTACAATTATAATGTAATTCATTTATTCATTGCAGCATCAAATGATAAAGACACAACCTTCCCCTGGAAGAAAGATAGCAAAGTAGAGCATCATCCAGCCCCGTCTGATGGCGAAAATTCTGCGACATATGATGTACCAAAGTCACCGAGAATATCACCAAAGCCTCCCAAAGCCAACCCAAGCCCTAGGCCTAGCCCAAAACCCACACCAGGATCAAGGACTAAGCCACCACAAACTGGTGAAACGAAGCTGTGAGCAGAGACAGAATAGTTTTAGGTCTATTGAATCAATTATAATAACTTTCTAAAAATTAATACTATGCGTCACTCCAGTTTGGAGTATTTGCATTTTTATTCTATTTACACAATACTGTAATCTCACAATAGAATCCGTATTAAACTGAAGCAGTGGTAATATTCTTGAGGTTATCTAGCCTCGGTGACAACGGGTCTAGGGTCAGGCCGGGTGGCAAACACCCAGGACCCTTTGCAAACAGAAGACGTGATTTAACCATTGGCCATGCGACAGAACCATAATGGCATTATAAAATGATTTATATTTCTGCTTTAAATATAAATTGACCAATGGAAGGCAATTAAAAAAAAATCCTTATAGACGTAATAAAATATCTCATTATCTCGTTATAACACTTATGGTATTATTTAGTCACAAGCACAAAGTTTCACCCACAAATTGCCATAATTGATTATAAGAATGTGACGAAAATATGTATTACGAAGTAATTATTAATGCAATACATAGCTGAAGTAACTTAATTAGATTGACACAAACATAAATCCTATCTAAAATTATAAAAAATGTTTACAATGATAAACAATAACTCAACCAGTAGCTGTTTTATTGTGTAATTTTTCACAATTCATTAATTACATAATCCACTGCACACTAACACAAACCCCTCATTTTTTAGGCCTACTCTTTCTCCAAAGCGTTTGTACAATGGTATGTGCATCTATTTTTCCAGATCAATGGGGGAAGATGAAGGCGATACCTTGTAAAATAAGACTACCTTACATTTTATTTTATTTCAATTAAAGTAATAGACAATTGTTTTTATTTTTGTTGTATTCATATACATATAAATAATTATACATATACATATATTTTATAGTTTTAATAACATTGTAGAATATAGTTTATACGAAGGCTGGTCGAAGGTGTAATACCTAAGTATTATTTTATCATTATAATATAGAAGTTGTTTACTCTGCAACACTGAAAAAAGCATGTGATGCTAATGGGAAGATTAAGGAAGTTATCAGTGGCGCTTTGCCTCAGCTGGTAGAGCAGCCGAACGGTAGTCGTAGGTCTTGGGTTTAAATCAGGGTTTTTCTCAACATTTATGTGACAAATGTAATTGTTTCGAAAGCGAGTAATGAAAATGACACAAACACTTTTCAGAAAACTGAGAAAGGATGGATTTTTTTTGAAAACCAAAAGCAAAATACCTAATGTGCTAATGAACCATCAATAAAATGAAATTAATGTATGTTGGCTATAATAATATAATCTGTTAAATATGTTTATATTATATTGATTGGTTTGATTCGATATTGATATGGCTTGATTAGACTGGTGTATTGTGGAGACATTATATTAATGTAGAAGCAAGTCGATTGTATTTCGATATTTTTATGAACAAAATGACAAATAATATACTTTATTTACTTATTCAAAGATAATGATTAATGGATATTATAGATTAGAATATTATAATTAGTTTTCTTTAATAAACAATATAGGCCTATCCGTTCAACGTTCGACTGCTTTACCAATACAGCTGACGACAGTCCAAACTAGTACCAAAAATACTCTAGAAAAATCACATGCTATTGTTGGTAACAACTTAATTAATGACAAAAATTTGATGATATAGGCC